CGATGCATCCGGTTGCTGCCTGATGCAGAGCACTCTCCAGTTGGTCTGGCGGCATCATTGCACCCCTTGTATCACTCACATGTGTGTACAGCTTCTCCACACCGCTGAAGCCAGTCGCCCGCTCGTGGTGCTCCTTGATCACTCGGGGCAGCTCCTCGAGCGGCACCACGGGGCACCACCGCCACTCTCCGCTGCGCTTGACGCAGCGGCACAGGATGTCCTGACCGCCAGCGCCCTTCAGCACCTGGAAGAACTGCAGCACCTTCTTGCTGTAGTTCTTGGCGCCGCCCTGCACTGCCGCCCCCCCTCCCGCACCCCGCCGCCGCCGGCCTGAGGGCGCCTGCTGGTCGCCCTGCTTGATCCGGATGATGCCCTCTACATCTGACTTAGTGAGAAACACATTCTTGGCGCCGTTTTGGCGCCGTTCTAAGGCATAAAGGATGACAGGTTGGTTCATAATTTTAAATTTGCGGCAGCTGCGGGGTGCGGGAGGGGAGAAATAGAAGCCTTAGAGACTCTGAAAGGCGAAGGAAAGGGAGGGATCGCGGGAGAGAGCGTGCCTGATGAGCCAGACGAATCGGGGGAGGTGCCACATCAGCGGGCAACACATGCCGCCGCTCCCCGCCCTCGCCCTGCTGCTGGCGGCGGCGGCGGCGCTCCCCACCGCGGCCGCCTGGAGGCCACAGCCTAACCCGTTCCCCTTCACCACCGAAATGAGACAATGGGCCGACGAATTGAATTGCCTTAGGATCACAGACGCGCTGTACTACTCAACACCCCCGCGTTTCGACAAGCGGTGAGCATGTGGAGGCGGGAGCGGCGTGCGCCGGCCAAGGGTGCCCAGCGTGCCCCATCCGTTACTGGCGCTGGGCTGCATTCTAACCTTCTATTTTGCTTGCTTTGGTGGGAGGGACAATTGCAGCCTGGTTCAGCAAGAGCAACTAGCCCTGCCCCCTCCACAGCCACCCCTGCCCAACCCCCACCCCACCCCCACCCCACCCCACCCCGCCGCTTGCTCCGTAGGGAGCAGACGCCTGGACCCTCTGTGGCAAGTACGCCGCGCAACCGAATGGCACCCGCTCCCCCGTCTCATGGTCTGTGCTAAGAGTGGACAGGCAGCGCTACCTACAAGAGAGTGGACAGTACTACTACACCGTCACCTGCGCGGCCTGCCCAGATGCCGCCGTGGCCCCCCGCGACTTCCTGAAGGATGCGACGTTCAAGTGGTTTGGGGACACGCCCTACTGCAACGGCGCCTGCCCCCGCGGCTGGACCGCGCTGACGGGGCCCGTGTCGTCAGGGCCGGGCCGCCCCGCAAGCGAGGATCGCTATTTTGGCTCGCCCTGCGAAATCGAGGATGTCCCCGGCAAGGTCCTGTGCGCCTTTCCGGGGCGCAAGGCCTGCAATCGCTGCACTTACCGCTTGTGCGTGTGGTGGGCCGCATGAAGGGGTGCGGGTGCTGGTCGGGGTTGCCGGGGACACCTGTGGCGGGACTGTTGCCGCGCACTGAACGCATGCTGCCTGCCGCGCTCGACCGGCACCCGTGCTGCGCACCAGAGCGCCTGCCCCTGCCACCATTGCTCTCCAGCGACGACACAAATACCTGCCAGCCGGGGGAGACGCTTGTGGCGCTGGATGCCGCTCCGTGGGTTGCCCGAGCGGCGCTGTGTGGTGAGCAGAGCGCAGGGCATGGAGTTTCACCACGCTTCTAGGCTGTTGCTAGCTTGGCAGTGCCCCACGGAGCCCTCAACAACGTGTACCGTTGCTGGTGCTGCTGTGTTCCGTCCGCATGCATCGCAGCCTGGGGGTCCCAGGTAACATATGAACTGCTGTGCATGCAGAGCTCTGTGCGCGGTCGGTGTTTGACGAGTCCAAGTGTGGAGAGCCGCGGGAGCAATGCGTCAAAGCCAATTACCCTCGATACTTGCAAGGTGAGATGGGAAGGTGAACCCATGGGTACTCGTCCCATAGCCATGGGATGAGTACTTTACCCCTGCCTGCCCCTCCGCCGGGGGGTGGTGCCGTGTGGAGGGCTGGGGCAAGGGCACCCGGGGGGGTCTCGTCCACTGATCTGCTCTTCTGTGCGTGCAGATTATTGCTTGGAGGGTGAGCGCATTGTGGACAAGCCTACCACCAGTTGCGAGAGCTCGGTGTGGTGCCAGAGCTGCCCCCTAGATTATGTCGCTTCTGCCGCTGCAAGCGCCTCTGCCGCCGGTGAGCTGGACTGGCAGCGGGCTGTTATGTGCTCAAGTGCTTGCGTGAGTAATTGCCGATGCCAGCACCCTTGCATCGTTCCACCCCGCAGGTCGCAGGCAGCCCAAGTGCCTCAAGCGGGCGTGCACCAAGCCGTTGCGCAACCGCCGCTTTGTTGGGCGCCCCGCCCTCACACTCTCTGGCGTCACCACCTACGCCGCCTGCTGCAAGATGTGCCGCACAATCACGGGCTGTGTACGTTTTGGCGTGAGCGCCAAGGGATGCGCCATCTACCGCACCAAGCCTCGCCCGAAGGGCGTCAGGGCACCTGGCTACATTGTTGGCTACAGTGAGTGGGGCTGGGGCGGTGGCCGGCGAGTGGCGCGCGGCGGCTGTCGAGATGAAGGCCTGCATTGAGTCATGGCGCTTCCAACTTCTTCTGCTGCAGACGTGCCAGCCACCGGCTAGCTGCAGGCCACAGGAGGCAGATGTGGACATGGCGTCATGTATGCGGGGACAGCTGTGGTGCACGATACGACGACATGGGCGCATAATATGGGTTGCTGAGTTTACAAATGTAATGTGCTCAATGTATTCACTCTCTTACCGCCACTTCGCCAGGTCAGCAGTGGGCCTCAAAAGCCCAGCCATGATACCCCTCGCAACGCATCGCACCGTCTAGAAGCGTCTTTCGGGCAGCCATGGTGCAATGATCGGGCGTGTGGGGCCCGCACATCCCACATGGTGTTTAGCAGGGGCGTTGTGTCAGCGGCCCTGGCCGTCGTGCTGCCTCTTTCCTTGCTGCTGATTGCGCAGCAGCGCAGGAACGCGGGTCGGGGGGACCCACTGCCGCCCGCCCAGGCGCCCGACTGCTACCTCGCCGGCGGGGCCGCCGCCGCCGCCGAGCCAGCCGAGTGGGAGGCGTTCACGCTGCCCTTCCAGCCCGTGGAGCAGCTGTCGGCCGACACGCTGCCACTGAGCAGCCACAACGTGAGCTGCGGGCCGCTGCCCTGCAGCTGTGGCGCCGCTGGGCGGGGGCGGCTGCCGCCCGTCTGCTCACACGGTGCACCCCTCCCTCGGCCCTGGTGCAGTGCACCGGCGACGAGGTGTACCTGCGGGTGTGCCGCTACACCAACCTGCTGCTGCACAACGGGGAGGTGTTCTATGTCGCCAGAGGCGGTGAGCCGCAGCTGCACGCAGCCCCAGGGGCGACCGGCGCCTGCGAGCCGGCATGCTGCGCCTGCGCTGCCACGCTGCGCCCGGTGCCGCCGCCGCCGCGGCTGCCCCTCATGGGCGGGGCCGGCTGCTGCTGCCCCGCCTGCCGCGCAGGCGCCTCTGCCCAGCTGCCCCCCCTGGCGGATGTGTGCTACAACCAGGGGCGCAAGGAGTTCCAGCCCAAGCTGCTGCTCCGCTCCAACGCCTCCTCCTTGGGCTGGGACTTCTCAACGGTGAGCAAACGGTGCAGGGCCGCTGCCGCCGCCAGCCGGCCTGCCCCCCATGCAGCGCCAGGTGGGCGACCCATGTGCCCAGCGGTGCAGAGGCTGCTGTTGGCACGCAGGCACAGCTGCACGCCGGGCTGCGGCCCGAGCAGCAGCCCTGCCCGTGCCTTTGCCTCCTGCAGGCCGCGGCCCTGCCCCGCACCTGGCTGTGGACGTTCAGCAACCCGGCGGCAAACTTCTACCACCACATGGCTGAGGAGGTGCGGTGCGGCGGTACAGTGAGCTTGTGTGTGTGTGTGGTAGCTGTGTTGGCGTGCGGCCGGGGCGCCAGCCGCACGCGGCGCCTGTGGCAGCGCAGCAGCAGCCGAGTGCCGCCAACGTGTGCGCGGCCTCCCCGGCCCCGCCTGCCCACCCTGCGCCACGTGCGGCCCCGCCGCGCCGTGCCTCCTCCCCTCCCCGTCCCGTCTGCCTCCAGCTCATCACCATGCACAACACGCTGTGCCAGGCGCTGGGGCTGTGCCGCTACGAGCAGCGCGCCGACCCGGCGCAGGACCTGCTGATACTGGGCCTCAACGGCGCCGTGCTGTCCAAGCCGGGGCAGCCCAAGGTCCTGCTGGCGCGCCCCGCCAACGCCACCATCGCCCAGTGCATCACCGCCCGCCCCGCGCTGCTCACAAAGCACCACAGCCTGTGGGGCAAGGTGCGGCGTGCAGCAGCAGCAGCAGAGGTGGCGCCGCGGCGGCCCGCGGTCGGCGGCCGGTGGGCGGCGCCTCGGCGGGCCAGGCCCCGTCCCGCCAGGCGGCGGGCGCCTGGCGGCTTCCCAGCGCCCCACGCTGCGCCCGCTGCGTTGCAGGTCATTCTGCTGCGCGAGGCCTGGGCGGGCATCGGGCCAGCCTGCAGAGCCATGGGCTGCAGGTGAGCGCCCCTCGCCCGCCGCCCGCCGCCGGAAAGGACACCAGGCTGCCGGCGCCTGGCCTGGGCGCGCGCGAACAGCCAGCCCGGCCTCTCGGTGCCCGCTGCAGCCATGCCTCTCGGCCCCCCCCATTCCCCACCACCTGCTCAGAACCCCTCCCCACACACAAACACCTCGCCTGCCGCCACCTGCCTCGCATGCGCAGGGCCAGCGTGACCCGGCAGGACCGCAGCCCCATCCCGGCCGCCGGCCTGCAGCGGTACCGCGACCGCATGGCCGCCTGCTACGGCGTACCGCTGGAGCAGCCCGCCTCCCTGCACCCGCTGCGCATCCTGGTCATCGACCGCACGTACGAGTCGGGTGCGTGGCTGTGCCGCAAAAGCGCCCTGTGTCTGTGGGTATCTGTGTGTTGCGCCTGGCAGCCGACACGCCTGGGGTTGTTGGTGCTGGTGGTGTGGTGTGGTGTGGTGTGGTATGGTGTGCGAGTGCGAGTGTGGAGGGGTGGAGCGGGATGTGTGGGTGGTTAGGTGGAGTGGTGGTGCGGGTGTGGGCCTGCCTCCCTGATCAGCGGACGCCTGCTGCCGGCTGTTGTTGTTGGTGCAGGGCGCCACATCCTCAACATCCGCTCCGTGATGCAGCTGGTGCGGCAGAGGTTCCCCGCGGATGAGGTGCAGCTGGCGTACTTTGAGGTAAGAAGAGGCTGGGGCTGGGAGGAGGGGCTGGGCAGCCGCTGCCCAGCCAGGCGCCGGCGGCGGCTGCAGCGCAGGCCGCCCCCCACTCGCCTCCCCGCTACCTGACCCCTTACCCGCCCCCCTGCCTGCCCCGCTCGTCCTTTGCGGCAGGACCTGTCGTTCCGGGAGCAGCTGCAGCGCATGTCTTGGGCCAGCATCGTGCTGCTCATGCACGGCGCCGCGCTGGGCCTGGTGCCGCTCATGCCCCCGGGGGCGGTCTTCATTCACGTGATGCCCGACCGCGACAACCACGGCGCGCAGGCGTGGGCCCAGTTCATGGTGAGCGGCGGCGGGCGGGCTGCTCGTGGCTGGGCTGCGGCGTGGGCTGTGGCACGCCGCCACCGCCCGCCGCCGCCGCGGCCCCGCCCGGCCTGTGCGCCTGCGTGCCGTCCCCGGCCCCGGTCCCGCCACGCTGCGAGCGCCCTCGCCCGCCTCCCCGCCACTGCCGGGCCTGCAGGTGGACGACTTCAGCTTCCTGAACATCTCCTTCGTGCCGCTGAACAACACAGACGGCGCCCTGGAGCGGCTCAAGCTGGAGAATGTGCGGCAGGATGAGTTCTTCCAAGAGCTCTCGCCGTGAGTGGTGGCCCTGTGGCGCACGCCGACCTGCAGCCCGCATGGGCCCCACGGCAGCGGCAGCGGCGGGATGGTTTGGGCCTGGCTGCATGGCCAGGCGCGCGCGCTGCGGCGCCTGCTTGGTGCCAGGGTTAGGCGTGAGGGAGCGAACGCGAGTCGAGCGCGCCGAAGCAGCCCCCGTCGCCGCCGCTTCCGGTGCAGGTCGGACAGGCTGATGGTGCTGGAGGAGGGGCGGTGCCCCAGGAAGAAAGCGTACTGCAAGATGTTCTTCTTCCGAAAGCAGGTGGGGCCGGGGTGGGGCGCCGGGCCGGCACGTTGGCCGCCTGCTTTCGCACGCGCTGCTGGCCCCGCTGCCGGCTGGCTGGAGGTAGCTCGCTGACGGAACTGCTGGTGCTTACTGATGTCGCATGTGTGCGCGGGAGCGCAGGTGAACCTGGTGCTCAACCTGGAAGACCTGGGGTGGGCCCTGGACACGGCTGTGCAGCAGCTGCGGGGCGCCGGGCGCCCAGGCAGCGGCGGCGACGAGCAGGCGGCGACGTCGCTCGACAGGCCTGCCAAGACAGACTGAACCGTCTTCGTCGTTGTTATTCATGTTTACACTTTACATTTCATTGCCGTTATTGCACGGCCTGCTACATGAATTGATACTTGTCGCAATTATCAATCATATGAGTCATTTGCATCGCTTCCATCCCAAACCGGCATGGGCATAGGCCTGGGTGTAACCATACGGGTTAGTATGCTACGTTAGCATACTAATCAGTTACTATGGCATAGAAGAATTTTGAGGGTGGTTACTACGCTTTGGGAGAGGGTTCATACGGCATAGTAACCGCGGGCGGGGACGGTATAGTAACGGCGGCGTGGGGACAGCGCACACGCCAATCGGGGTCACTCTAAGCCTGGAGGGAGTAGAAAAAATCCTCATACATGCTACAGAGCTCCCAGGGTGCAATTTTCAATGGGAAACGCATCTAGCACCATAAACTGGAACATGCTGCCTGCATTTCATGCCGCCAGCGCCGCTCTAACGCGCCGCTCTAACGCATACATATGGCATAGTACGGGTTAGCGGGGTTCTGGGTGGGTTACTGTTTTGTCTAACGGTGAAATAACCAAGTATGCTAACCATGGTTATTTAACCCATACTACGGCATAGAGAAAATGAGGGGGCAGGGTTACACCCAGGCCTACATGGGCATGTGCAGCGGCGTGACGGCGGCGTGTCGGCGGTGGGCTTGGACTTTCGGTGGATTACGGGCGCTTACGGCGACCTACAATGGGGTGCCTCGAAGAAGAAGAATTTCAGCCGTGGTTCTGCAAGAGACGCTGACACGGTACAGCAGTACATTTGGAAGGAGTTCGAGAGGCACTCGCGTTTGCCATTTTGCACTGCGCACACGTTGCTGGAGCCCCCTGCACACGCCCCAGGCACCTGCGCTCGCCTTCTGCCTTCCAACCGGTTGCACCGAGCAAACCGCACTGGGAAACGGCTCTGGTCGCTACACAGTGGCAGGAGAGGACGCTGGTGTGCAAGCCGAGGTGAGCAGCAGGCTCTCTGCCACCCTGCCGGTGCCGCCGCCGCCGCGGCTGGAGAACGTTCCGCCGTCGCCCCCATTCCCTGCAGGCAGCAGCCTAAAGAACCCCCAGCCGTGCCATTCATACGTGGTTCTACAGCCATGCTGGCTCCGACAGCCGCTGTCATCGCCAGGCTGCCGTTGCTGGCTCGGCCAGCGGTGCTGCGTCGGGCCGACAGCGTGCGTCGGGCCAGCCGCAGGCGGCTGGCTGTCGCTGCTGTCATGGGCGAGGGCAGCGATGCGTCCAGGTCCGAGCCGCCCAGGTGACGATTACCACCTCAGGCTGCCGTTTGTGGGCGCAGCCGCCGCTGCCGTGGCAGCAGGGCAGGCAAGGGCGCCGCCAAAGGGACACATGCCAACCTGAACCTGACATGCCTGCGGGGTTTACTCATGCTGCAGCCCTCCTGCCTTCACCAGCAAGCTGGACGTTCAGAACTACCAGCGGTGAGGCCGCTGGGCAGATCACCAGACCATTCTGAATCTGAACCCCCATGCTGCGCTGGCGGCAGCTGGACCTCGCCGTGCCTCATGTGGGCCCATGATGCGCCCCCGTGCTGGCTGGTGCAGGGTGCAGGCATTGGAGGAGCGGCAGCTGAGGACTCGCATCAAGAGGACCAAGAACACTGACAAGCTGGCCTCCCTCATCCGGGTGTTGGAGAGCTGCGGCAAGCGGGAGCTGGCAGCACAGGCCCGGGACGCACTGGCGGCGCTCGCTCCCGACCGGGCCGACGCGTCGTCGCCTCCCACCCAGCCCAGCCCTTCAGCTGGCGCCACAGCAGGAGCGGCACCAGGCAAGGGCGCAGGCAGGGGCAAGGCGGCAGGCAAGCAGGCGCAGCTGACGGCGAGGCAGCAGGTGCAGGTGGAGAGGACTGCCAGCCGCCTGCGAGACAAAGGAATGGAGGTGAGGAGGCGAACCTCAGCGTGGCGGTAGTGAGCGGTGGCAGTAGTGATGGGTGGTGACAGCGACGGGTTGTGAGACGGGATCCGGTCCCGGCAGGTCACGTGCAAAGCACTGGCTGCCTGCCTGCAAGAAACTTTCTGCCTGCCTGCAGGTCTTCCTGCCTGTGCGCGATGCCGAGGGCCTTCATGTCGACTGGGGCGTGCTGGCAGGTGGGTGGGGGCCCGCTGGCCGGCCCCCTGCATGGTCTTGCCTGGCGGCGGCGTGGGTCACGCCTCTGCACGCCTGCTGCTCGCCTGCAGGCTACGAGGAGCAGAAGCGCCAGATAGAGGACACGGTGCTGCTGGCGCTGGCCAACCCTGAGGTGTACGACAGGATTGCGGCCAGGACAAAGGCGCGAGGGGCACAGGCCGCCGGCTCCAACCGCCCCCGCGCCGTGCTGTTCGAGGGACCGCCAGGCACCGGCAAGACCACCAGCGCACGGTGGGGCCTGCTGGGGCGGGAGAGGCCTGGCCCCTGCCAACCGTAGCCACGGAATGCCGGAGGGCAGCTGACGCAGGCGTGCACGCATGGCCTTCGCTGGCCGCACGACCGCTGCCGCCGCCGCCGGCCCTGCGGTGCCTGCAGGGTGATCGCTCAGCAAACTTGCGTACCGCTGGTGAATGTGAAGTTTGAGAAGGTGCTCAGCAAGTGGTATGGCGAGGACGAGCGCAACCTGGCAGGTGAGCCTAAAAAAACAAAAACAACTGCCTGTCTTTTTTTGATAGACCAAGATCAACAGCCGGAGCAGCTCGGTAGCTCAGCGCGGGACCTCCCAGCCCAGTCCTCTCGAGCCCAGTCCTCTCAAGCCACATCTGCATGCTGCCGCCGCTGCCCAGCAGAGGTGCTGCAGCTGTGCGAGGGCTTCCCCGCAGGCGCCATTGTGTTCCTGGATGAGCTGGACTCGCTCATGACCTCCAGGTGGGCGCAGCTGCTGCCTGGCAGCGACGTCTGCCTGCGCCTTGCACACACCAGGGCCGTTGGCTGCGAGGTTCGTGCAAGGAGCCAGCTGTAGCAGGCTCCTGCCGGTTGGCCGCCTGACCGCATTGCACATGCGCGCGCATTTGCAGGAGCGACGGCCAGGGGCTGCACGAGGTCACGCGGCGCATGCTGGGCATCCTGCTGCGCCACCTGGACGGCTTTGATGCCAGCCGACGCTCGGGTGGGCCCCAGCCGGCTGCTCCTGGTTCCGAGCGCTTGCGCCGGCGTCGATGCCATGGCGAGCAGCATGCCGGAGCACGCAGTTGGGCACTGTGCCACGGCAGTGCCCTCTGAGCTTCCTCCTTGCGTGCAGTGCTCATTGGCGCCACCAACCGGGCGAGGGATCTGGACCCCGCGCTGCGCAGCCGCTTTGCAGCGACCGTCACGTTTGGTCTCCCCAGCCAGGAGTCGAGGTGGGCGGGGGCGCGCCTGAGCAGCACAGCGCGCAAAGCACGGCAGGCACAGCATGGCGCTGGCGCTTCGTGGCTTGTGCTGCTTCTGGCGCTGTGCTGATGCGGCAGCCGATCAGCCAGCGCCAGGCTGACCCAAGCATGCATGCGACCTCCCTGCTTCACACTGGCACCGTGCTGTGGCGCAGGGCGGCCATCCTGGGCCAGTACGCGCGGCAGCTGAGCGGCAGCGACCTGCAGGCGCTGGCCAGCGCCACCCGTGGCATGGCGGGGCGCGACCTGCGCGCCGTGTGCGAGCAGACCGAGCGGCTGTGGGCGTCGGAGGCAAGCCTGGGTGGTTGGGAGGGGCAGGCAGCAGCCCAGCACTCCCGCCGACTGGCAGAGCAGCGTGCCAGAGCCCTCTCGGGGCGCTTGCAAGCGCCCGTCACGCTGCTGAAGCGCCGCTGCTGCCCATGCCGGCTGCTGTGCAGATCATCCGGGGGCGCGTGCCGGAGGACCAGCTGCCTTCGGTGATGGGCTACCTGGCCAGCGCGGAGCAGAGGCTGCGGGAGATGCGGGGCGGGGAGGACGACTGAGCCCAGGTGGCACTCCGACACAGCAGCTGGCAGCGGCTGTCGCGTCGATCGCACAGGGGATCTGTAGGATGGTGCACTATGCAGGGGTTCTGTAGGCATGCACCTTTCGGGGCTGTAAGCATGCCTTTGAGGAGCAGCAGGGCACACCTCCTGCGGCTGTCTGCTGCCATTGCAAGAGGCCGGAAGCTGCCTTGATCCCCGGGCCGCCGCTGCGCCGTACCGCTGCCGCTGCCGCTCTCCTGGCTGCCCCAACATGGGTCCTGGCTTGCCTGCAGCCGACCCAGGGGCAATCTGATGTCGTTCTTGGCGTCAGAATGAGTTTTACAGGGCTGGGCATACAACATGCAGTACATTACGAGAGATCTACACGTGGCCACCAGGAGACGCACTATTTCAGAGCGCTGCCTGCCTCCTCCAGCCCATTTCTCGCTTCTGTGTCCTCCACCCTCCTTGGTGTGCTCTACCCTCTTCCCTCCCGTCCCAGGTGAGTCTGTTGTGGCGATGGGAAGCCCCACCACCACCTGTTGTGACGGCCCTGCCTTGGACTGCTGCTGCTGCACCCCACTCCCACACCTGCATCCACCAGCCCGCTCCAAGGGCGTGGCAAGGGTTGGGGGGCCTCCTGGCCGTGCACACAAGCTGTCATGTTGTGCCCGAGGCACCGGGCTGTGTGCCCGGGCGGGGCGGGCGGCGCGGGCCGCGGCGTGTGCCGCGGCCAGCGTAACCCCCAACCCCCACAGGCCTGCCCACGGGCTTCCCCTGAGCCTGTGCTGCCATCCAATGCGGGCCATCTGCCCGCAGTCTCACCCGGCGGGCGATTGCATCCCGCCAGCTTCCACGCCCATGCACATCGCCTACCGACCTCCTGCCTCCCTCCCCTGCCTGCAGCCCTCCCACTCCCTCCAGCCCAAGCATCATGCGCGTCGCCATCCTGCTCTGCCTGGTGGCCGGGTGAGCCCAGCTGGGCCCGCCCTTTGCTTGTGCCGTCCGAGGGCCGCTTTCTTCCTGCCGCTGCCTCCAGTCGCCCTGGAGCCTTGCTTGCAATGCTTACCTTTACCTTTTACCAGCATCCACCCCCTGGCCTCCTCTGCAGGCTCCTGGCGGTCCCCGCCATGGCCAGGCGTGAGTTGCGCAGCAGCCGCCGCCCCGCCCCGCCTCGCTGCCTCCTCCGCCAGTGGTGCAGCCTCGCCGCTGCCGACCGCCGCCCTGCACGCCCTCTCCCCGCCTGCCCCGCTCCTGCCTGCAGGCTGCCAGGACTCGTGCGATGCCACCACCTGCGACCACCCTTGCTCCTGCGAGTTCACCGAGCTGCGCTGCCCGGGCGCCAGCGGCGGGGTGAGCTGGAGGGAGGCTGCCGCCGCCTAGCCCCCTGTGGACAGGCGGCGCACAGCCCTCTGCCCAGCTCAGTGGTTACTGCCGTGCCAAGGGCAGGCACCTGCGTCTGGCCTGCAATCACACGCACACCGTGGCGTGCGCCTGCGCCTACTGCTTTCCTCCTGGCCCCTGCAGACAACGGGCACGGACTGCAACAACCCGTGCGAGTTCTTCGAGTGCCTCTGCCCTCCCTTCAACGTGCCCCGCGACAAGGGTCGCAAGCTGATGCAGGGCGCCACCAAGAGCCGTAAGTACCGGCAGCAGGGAGGCTGCTGTTGAGGCAGCCAAGCGCCAGCACAGCTGAGCGACCGCATACAGCAATTGCGATAAGGGGTGCCCCCTGCCCTCCCTTGCTGCACGCCTGCAGCCCCCTGCAAGAAATGCAACGGGCCTCGCGATGAGACCTCTTGCGACTGCGGGAGCTGCACTGGTAAGGCGTAAACGTTCACACCCGTGTGGCACACGTGAATGCTACGGTACCACCTAGGAGTCTGACTGGGGCCTGTCTCTGTGCATGCAGGCCGCTGTGTGAACTCCCCCCAGACCTGCCAGGGGTCCAAGTTTGTCTGCGAGAAGGTGAGGGAGACTGCCTTTGAAGCCGGCATTCGCTGCGGCAGCATGCTGGTGGGTAGTCACTGCCACGTCCTCTGGCCTGCGCTGCTGCAGGTCTGAGGCTGAGGAGATGAAGCGGAGCCACCAGCCACCCCCTCCTGCATGCGCCCGCCCCCCTCCTACAACCCTGCATGCGCCCATCCCCTAATACCCTGCACGCTCCCCGTATCCCAAGCCAAGTGCTGGTTGAACGCAGAAGCTTAAGATTGTTTAGATGTGTTGCCTGCTTGCATGCTGTGTAACACACAGTGGCAGGCACCCAGCAGGACCAGGGAGGGGAGGGGAAAGGGCATCGGGCTCGCCGCTGGAGAGGAAGCTCAGTCGCGGTGCTGGTAGGGAAAGGCCCTGCCAGCCTGCCTGCCTGCAGGCTGGCGCCTGCCGTGCAGCGGCTGCCTGATCCACCCTGCCGCAACCCCTCCACCTGCGGTGGCGAACAAAGCTTGGCGCTGACAGGAGTTGGTGCGCTAGCGCCGCTCGCAGTGCCGCCTAACTGGTTAGCCCGGCTGAAGAACCACAAGGCCGGTTGCGCTGCGCCCTTGGCGAAGGAGCGTGTCGCTGGTGAGGGGGCCCCCATGGGGGAGGGGCGGCCACCGTGGACACCAGCTGCCGGCAACGAGAAGGTGAGCAGGCACAGGCACCGCAGCAAGGAGAGGTGTGAGCAGGGGGTGGGCACCCCCGCCAGGCTGCGTGAAGTGTCTCGCAACACCTCCATCTGCCTGCTCCGCAGTGCCGTAAAGCGTGCGGGTCCTGCTGGGGCGATGCAATGTTCGGCTGCGCTAGCACATGTGTGGATCAGGCGGCCAATGGAGCGGTGGGGGTGCCCGTCCAGCGGCCGGAGCTGAAGCAGACGGGGACAGCGGGTGATGGCGATAGCGAGGAGGAGGTGGAATGACTCGGATGCGTCTCCTGACGACTGTGAGGAGCTTTGGGCAGGTGTGGCTGGCTTCCTGTGCAGGTTCCTTCCAACCCGGCGTTTTTGTGAGCAGCTGGACACCTGTGTAAGCCAGCAACAACAGTTTTTCTGGCAGCCCCAGGGGGTAGTTGCATGAACAGCCTGCTCCCCGCTCAGCTGCAGGCGTGGTGGATGGCAGCTTTTTGGTAGATGCTGAGCCAGGACTGATGCGGGAGCCATAAGGAGCTGCTGCAGCTGCCAGTCAACCAGAACCTCGCACCAGATCTTGATTCGCCTCGGCGGCGGCAGACAGGTGGGCTTGCAGGCAGCGGCGGCAGCGGCGGCAGCGGCGGCAGCCGCCTGGCGACTTGAATGCCTCCTGCCGCTCCGCCAGCGGGCAGCCGGACAGGGTGCTGAGGGGTTGGGAGGGGTTGGGCGGGGCTGCCGGGTGGCGGTGGCAGGGCTGCCTGTGCCAGCGTCGAAGCTGGCTAGCTGCGCCCCGCTGCTGCCTTCCGCGCCGCTGCAGGTGTCGCCCGACGAAGACGGCCAACCCGCTTGATGTTTCTTTTGTGCAGGGGGAGTGCTGCCGGCATCAGCAAGGGCTTGCCCCTGCTCATCATAGCCACATGCGCATCATAGCCACATGCTCGCGTATGCCTTGGAGCACTCACGGAACGCACCCGGGTGCAGACCCCCAAACCGTGGATGAGCGGCTGGTGGTGGCGGACGCGGTGCGGCTGCTGCGAGGGGTGGCAGGCACTGAACAACCCCCCCCCCCCCCCCGCTGGCCGGATTGGTCGGT